TGGGCTGTTCCGTCATTGGCTCAGTGGACTGTTCCATCAATGGGCTGTTCCGTCATTGGCTCAGTGGACTGTTCCATCAATGGGCTGTTCCGTCAGTGGCTCTATGGGCTGTTCCGTCAGTGGCTCAGTGGGCTGTTCCATCAATGGGCTGTTCCGACAGTGGCTCAGTGGGCTGTTCCGTCAATGGACTTTTCCATTGTTGGCTCAGTGGGTTGTTCCATCAGGGGCTCAGAAGGCAGTTCTGTCAATGGGCTGTTTTGTCGGTGGACTGTTCAGCCAATGGGCTGTTACCTCGCCGGGCTGTTCCGTCAGTGGCTCAGTGGGCTGTTCCCTCGCCGGGCTGTTCCGTCAGTGGCTCAGTAGGCTGTTTCATCAATGGGCTGTTCCATCATTGGCTCAGTGGGCTGTTCCATCAATGGGCTGTTCCATCATTGGCTCAATGGGCTGTTCCATCAATGGGCTGTTCCGTCGTTGGCTCAGTCGGCTGTTCTATCAATGGGCTGTTCCGTCGTTGGCTCAGTCGGCTGTTCTATCAATGGGCTGTTCCATCAATGGGCTGTTCCGTCGTTGGCTCAGTCGGCTGTTCCATCAATGGGCTGTTCCGTCGTTGGCTCAGTCGGCTGTTCCCTCGCCGGGCTGTTCCTTCAGTGGCTCAGTGGGCTGTTCCATCAGTTTGCTGTTCCCACTGCGGGCTGTTCCATTAGTGGCTCATTGGGCTGTTCCATCAGTAAATGTTCCATTCAGAAGCTGTTTATGATTATTCTGTTTATCAGCTGAAATTCCTTGTAATAATTAACCAATCAGAATGAATAATTTCAGCACTAACCTGTTTTCCTAGATGCCGGAGCACCCACAGAACCCACGTGTGCACCAGAGAACACGGTAGCTGGTGGGGGAAGGAGTCAGACCAAGACTGGAATGATTTGTTGGAACATTGCTTTGTTCTAACCATCAGAAACCAGAGCTTTTCTTGGATCACAAAAATCTAATGGCTTCTTTGAGTGTGCCCCCAGTGGCCAGGAGGACTTTCTCACTGATGGTGATGTAATTTTCCTCCCTCCACTGTTCTGAAAAACTGAACATCTTCACTTATTCATTGTTTTTGGGTCAGCTGCGGCCAGCATCAAGCAGACTTTCAGGAAGTCAGCCTGGTTATTGCTGGCTGGTTATTTAACCCTTCACGAACCTTCCTTCATCCGGCTCCCTGGTAGACAAAAAAGAAACCATCTGCTGCATGACTTTGTGTTCCCAACATGCTTTAGTTTGGGGTTAAAATGGGCTTGTTTGAGTACACTTTAATCCACACCAGTTAAAGTAATTTGGTTCACCATCAGGACACCTGACAGGCGAGGCTTTGGCTCTAGAACAACAGCTGATAAAATGATAATGCTCTGCAGAGGAAAATATCTGGAAATCAGACCCAGTTGGACCCGGATGGGTGCAAGGTCACATTTAGGGGCGTTTCCATAAACCAGCAACCTGCATGAAAACAAGCCGTAAAAACACCAGCCTATATAATTTAAATTATTTAAAATCCTCCTTCTCACATATAAAGCCTTAAATGGCCAAGCTCCATCTGATATCAGAGATCTGATTGTTCCTTATGTTCCTAACAGAGCACTTCGCTCTCAATCTGCAGGTTTACTAGTGGTTCCTAGAATTTCTAAAAGTAGAATGGGAGGCAGATCTTTTAGTTATCAGGCTCCTCTCCTGACATAGGGACCCCTTT